ACTTGGTAGCCCAGGCTGGCCTCGAACTCACAAAGATCCGCCTGCCTCTGCCTCCCAAGTGCTGGGATTAAAGGCGTGCACCACCACCGCCCGGCAACATCCTATTTTCTTATTTTAACAAAAACAAACCCAACGTCTTTGCCAAATATGTTTCCTGTTTATTGTCTCTGTTTCATACGTAACTTTCCAACTTTTCCCAGAAATTACATTAATGAGCAATTTTTCATTTTCCCACCACCACCTACTAACCACAAATAAAACTACGTGATAAGTGGGCTGAGAGGCTGGCTGCTTCCAGCAGATGGAAGCCAGGTCGCAGCCCCATTTCCCTCTGTCAGCTTAATACAGCTCTGCCAGGCTGCACGGTACAGGAACTGTTTAACCAAGCTTACTTACTTCCAAATCTTTCTCTTTTAGGGTGTGTGTGTGTGTGTCTGCACACACACACGTGGTGGTCACTTGTATAAACAAAGAAATGAAGTTTTAGCCTGGCACCTTTAGGCCCAGCTGTAGGAAACGTCTCATGAGCCACCCTACTCCCTCCCTCCAAAGACTCCCGTCTACAGCAAGCCTCTTAACAACCACCCAGCCCCAGGTGCCCCCTGCTTAGCCTTGCAGCTCCCACTGAGGGTCCCGCTACCTGCAGCTTTGCGGTCTGGGTCTGCAGTGCGGTGGTGTGCTCCTGCAGGAAGGCGCTCTGCTTCTGTAGGGTCAGGATCTGGCTGCTGAAGGCCAGATTCTGAGTCTCCAGGTGCTGCAGCTGCTCCTTCAGCAGGTGCTTCTCGGCCTGAAGAGCTGCGTTCTAGAGGAGAAGCACGCACCAGTTACACACAGCATGGCTAGCTCTCTCTTGCACAGGCCCTGGGGTTTAACGGAATGAACCCTCAAGGGGGATGCAGCCCAGAGCTGGGGGGGGTGGGGTTACTTTCTTGGAAACAGACAACTAATAGAATTTTCAAAAAGAAGGTAATGCATTACAGGGGCTGTGGCCCAGGACCTGAGGCATATGGGGCACGCAAGCCACTTTCCTGATTCCATTTGTTTCCTTTGGTATGGGTCATCTGAAGAGTACTTTTCTGTGAGCTGAAGCCATTCACCAGTGACCACAGAGCTCAAGTCCTCAGCAATAGCTGTCCCTACGTTTGAGACAACAAGTGGAACAGGGTACTTAAGAGTGGGAGACTAGGGCTGGAGAGGTGGTTCAGGGGTTAAGAGCACTGGCTGCTCTTCCAGAGGACCCGGGTTCGATTCCCAGAACCCACATGGCAGCTCACAACTGTCTGTAACTCCAGATCCAGGGGATCTGACACCCTCACATAGACACACACACAAGCAAAACACCAATGCACATAAAAATAAACCATTTAAAAAAAGAAGAGACTAACAAAGATCATATCTATTGTGCCACTAATCTGGCTAGGAGCCAGGACATGGGCTGCAGGCATGTGACCTTGAGACAGCCTCTCATGTTCTGTCTCAGCTTGTCTACTGAAAATCATCACAGTGGACTTCAAAACGTCACTGTTGTGAATCAGTGGGACAAGCATGCACTGGAGAGCTTTTTCTGGTAAGGGCCAACAGTAAATACTTGCAGGTGTGGTGGCCATGTCATCTCTATCCCAACAATGAAGGCCGCCACTGCAGTGGGACAGCAGCCCAGACCGCATGTCAACATGAAAGGTGTGAGTGTGTGTCAATAAAGCTTCGTTTAGATACAGCCCGGGCCGTGGGGCTGGTATAGAGCTCTGGAAGACAGGACGCTATGGGGACGAAGCTTGGTGGACAGAGTCTGGGTTTGTCACAGCAGGCGGGGAGGTCAGCCCAGGAGACGGGGCATGTCCCTTGAACTAGAAACTCTGAAGGAACTACAACGAAAGGCACCCAAGGGACCAGCCAGGCCAACCCAGGACAGTGTCCTACTGGATCCAACAGCCTCCATGGCCTCTGCCACCCCACAGTCTTTACAGTGGCTTCACTTCTTCACTATGGGTGTGGCTGCGCACAGGACGGTCGCTCACTTCACGGGCAGCCCACTCACACTGCGCTCCAGCTCGATGGCCCGGTCCTTCACACGGAGAAGCTCCATGGTGGCCTCTTTGTGGCTGGGCTCCCAGGCCTCTTTCTCTTGGGGACTGCTGACCACCTTGCCCGCAGGGTGCTTCAGCATGTTCTGTGCCTGCGTTCTGTCCTCCTGGGTCTGCCTGAGCTCATCCCGTTCGTCCTTTACCTGCAAACGGCATTGGGAAGCAGACTCAGGCAGGATGGAGGCACGCAGGAGCCCCACTAGTGGGTAGGGAGGCACCCCTCACCAAAGCCTCAGATACCCACTCACTGTCCCTGAGGAGGGACAGGCCAAATGCTCTTCTTTTGCTATGTGCTTCCCCAGACAGGACAGCAAAGGCGGGCGGGGATGTGAACTGACGCCTGCCTTAGTCCCCGCCTTAGCTACACGAGCCTTGCCTGGGCCTCCAGTCTACACCACACAACAGAGGCAAAACCAGGCACAGGCAGTCATACGTCTCACAGAGGCCCTGCCAGCCCTGCATCTGCCTGACTGCAGATCCCAAATCAACTCTGTAACCAAGGAATGTACCACATGTTCAAAACGGGAAAACACACGTGTGGCGTCAGTCCACCCATGGATGGAGACTAAACGCACACAAAAGCACGCGAGTGCGTGTGCGTGCGTGCGTGCGTGCGTGCGTGTGTGTGTGGAGTACCTATTGATGTGTGGAAAGTGTGAATGAGGGACGCATGTCTATATTCATGTAGATTGTGTATGTGTGCTCCACATGTTGTCTGGACGCATGGGAACATGTGCTTGTATGTGCCCAAGAGCTGACACACATATTCGTATAAGATCCTGTCCCATCTAAGGGGCCTTATGAGCCTAGAGGGCTCTGCTTGGTCTCTGGGCTGTTTCGTGTTCCCACACCTTACCTGGAAGTGTGGAACTGCCCTGAGCCACAGCCTCCTCCTACCATGCATCTGGCTGTCCTGCCCAGCTCCTGTACCCTGAGGTTGGTATCCGCAGGACACCCTACAGCTCATCCTCATCTGTCCCGGAACACTGCCCTGGCTGTCCTAGGGAGGGTATGGCAGAGGCCTGGTAGGTAGGACCTCAGCCTGGCCCTCACCATCTGCAGTTCAATCTGTAGTTGGTGATTCAAGCTTTCCTTCTCTTCCACCTGGGCCTCCAGAAACACTATCTTTTCTTCTTTCATGGCCAGTGTTGTCTTCAATGCTGATTCATTTTTGCCTTCTAAAATCTTGCATTTTCTGAAAATATAAAGACACAACAGTATAGTTTTCATCTACTTCAGGCCTAGTCCCATCTCCCTGTGGCTTGCACACCCTTCCCACTAAGCTGGCTTTAGGTGTTCCAGGGACCCAGAGTCCTTCCCAGGGTCCCCTGGCTGACATATCCACAACACTATCACACAAAACACCACCACTACATTGTATAGGTACTCCTTGAAGAGGTGTTTACAGAGGGCTTTATATCACTCCATCTCAGGAAACCTCAGCTATTGGTCCAAGGTCACGACGCTAGGTGCATGGCAGGTCTGCGGCCTTCCCATTGTACCAGACACGTCAAAGCAGCCATGGGAGTCTTGTTGGTTACAAATCCAGAAAAGGGTACCATACTAGATTTCTTTGAAAAGCCAGGCTGTTCAAGAAGGCACAGCTAGGAGAAAAACTGCCATCATCTAGTTAAAAGAGACGTGGGCTCCTCCTGGGTGCAGGCCAGTACAGAGCCTGTCCAGCATGCAAGAAGCCCTGGGTTTAGCTTCCAGCACCACAGCCGTTTTATCACACAAAACAATCTCCTTCCCTGCCTCCTTAACTCTCTAGGGACAAGACCTGAACTACAGAGGACGGACAGGAGTCACACAGTGACTCCAGCAGTGAAGAATAAATCAAGCCCTCAGATGGAGACCCGGGAGCTCAGACTCATGGGAGAGCACCGTGCTAGCACACAGGGGACTGTCCTTACGTGTCACCATGACTGTTGTCCTCCTGCAGCAGCAGCTCCTTGCTGAGGCCAACCTTCTCCAGCTCCTGGCTCAGTTTGTCCAGCTCACTGGTCAGCTGCTGACTCTTCAGCTTCTCCAGCACCAGGTCCTACGAGACAGGAAACATCACTGTGGACAGGAGTCTGGCAGGAGCATGGTAGGAAGGCTAGGGTCTCATGATGGTGTCACACCTTCAAGCCACCTCTTCCCCAAACCTGGCTGTTTCAGATGTTTCAGGCAAGCAGGCTAGGTGACGAGGTGGGAGACTCCAGGATGCGCCACCAAAAGAAAAGGGATGAACACCCTTTCCCAGCCCTCTTGGTGCTGGAAACAGACCACAGGACAACATAGAGAGGATGGACCCAGAATGTTCTCCTTCTCCGAAGTATGTCAGAAATACTCCACTGTGTTGACTTTTAGTAGTGAGAATAATCTATACTAGTATGATTGACTTTTTAAATTACAAATTTAGCAAGTAATTAAACACTCAATATTGGCAATAGAAAAAAAAGCCAAGATAGAAAGATGGGTTTTGTTGTTACGGTGGCCTTGGACTTTGCGTGTAGCTGAGGATGATCCTGAACTTTTGATCTTCCTGCTTCTCCAAGTACTAGGATTACAGGTGTACACCACCATGTCCAATTTTAGGCTGTGGTCTCAACCTAGGGCTTCGTGCATGCTAGGTGAGCATGCGCCCAACCAAGCTGCCTGTCTCCATGCCCGAAGGAGTTTATTTTAAATCCTGACTTCGGTTAACTTTTCGGAATGTGGGCGATGAACTCAAGGTTCATCTCCCTAATCCCTTTTGCTTCCATTCCCACACAGACCTCTGAGGGTACCTATTATCTCCTGCCTGGTGCCACAGCTATCCTTCCTACCAAATCATAGGCAGGAAGGTATCCCCACCACCAAATTTCCCTGCCACGCTAGCAGTTCTGGCCGTGAGTTATGGGTTAGAGTAACACGGATCTGAATGAAGCAGAGAAAAATTAGCATGTTTTTTATTTTGGTTTGTTTTTGTTTTGGCAGCCTTCTAACGTGCCATGGCTACTGCTCAAGCGTAGTGTTGAAATAGTGGAGCTCTAAGTCAAAGTTGCTTGGAGCTGGGCACTCAGGAGGCTGAGGCAGGAAGATCAAGAGTTCCAGGCTAGCCTGGACTATACACGGATTCCCAGACTAGCCTGAGCTATATAGCAAGATTCTGTTTTCAAATCCAGGACAGGCACCAAAGCTACATAGAGAAACCCTGTCTCAAAAAACCAAAAACAACAACAAAACAAAAACCCAAAACAACAACAGCAAGAGCAGAACAGCACCTGGGATTGCTAAGTTCCAGGACAGACAGCAGGACTGTCCTGCTGTGGTGAGGGGGAAGTGCATCTGTGTAACAAGCCCTGGAGATCCCTGGGTAGTTGGCAACTGCATCATAGCCCACTCTGCCTGCACTGTACAGACATGGACTGTGGGTGGCATGCAGGGCTTGTGTCCCTCCCTGACTCAACCTATACCGAGTTTTTTTTTTTTTCCCCCCCTTGGACATTGTCATGGCTCTGGGCTCACTTAGAAACCACATCCCTTCTCTCAGTAGGTATATAGCATCCCGCAGCCACCTCAGGCTGAGCTCCAGAGGGTTGGTCTCTCTCTCTCTCTATCTCATCCTTGTCTACCTGCCACATGCTGATCAGCCAGGATACTCCACTAGGGGATAGTTTAGTCACAAGCTAGAAGGAGCCAGGTATCCCCATCAGTGAGCTGACGACTACCTGGAACACGAGTTGGGATGACACCCACAAGTTAGGCCACTCTCTACTAGAGCCACACCATGATGGACAAACCCACAGCCCAAGAAAAGGTACCAAGGGGAGTAGAACAGATAACCCAGGAAGCAGAAAATACAAGAGGCTAAAATGGCCACACACTTTGATCCTATCGCTCCACTTCCAGAAACATAGCCTTTAAAAACTGTCTGATGATATGCTCATGGACAGGGACATACAGTACCACTGAAACAGTAAGAACTGGCGATGCTGCTCAGTGAGTGGGCTCAAGACCATGGGTTCAATCCACAGCACCCAAGAGGAAGAAAAAAGGCCCCCAACCCAAAACAAAACAGTGGGAAACTCCGAGCTAAAGGGACCTATAATCATCAAAGTCAATCTATAGGCTTAAAAATCTTGCTGTCACAGAGAAATCGGGGTTTTGAAACCTAGTCAGTGTGGGGCCGGGGAAGATGTCTGCACAGCTAAAAGATCTTGCTGACAAGCCTGGCAACCTGAGTTTGATCCCAGAACCCAAAGGGTGGAGGGAGAACAGACCCTCTCAGCTGTCTTCCAGTCTCCACATGCACACTATGACACACATGTACCTACACATATACCAGATAAATAAATGTAAGAAAACCACCACCCAAAAACCTGAAACTTACTTCATGTGGAAAAACATGAAAACATAATTCAAACCAAAAACAAAATAGCTTACCTGTATGTAGTCTGGTATGGAGCAGCCCTCTGATACATGACTGATTTATGGTTCTTTTTAATTTATGGTCAGTTTGGGGGAATTTTGATTTTTATTCCAGGCTAGCAAATAGACACGATTTAATGCTGTCTCTAAATGCTAGGCAAAGGCAGTGGGTGAGGAGGGGATTCAGAGGCACCCCGGAGGGCTGTGTGGTGAAGCATCTCTATGTACAGAAGATGGGGTGTGTGAAGTACATCTCCCACTTATGGTATGCACTCTACAGTGAGTGACGGGGACACAACCCTTTTATGAATGGGGGGCACAGAGTAAGAGGAAGTGATTACCAGGGGGTTGTTAATGAGCAGCGAGACCACCCCATGCCTTTTCTCCCCAGGCTGCAGACCTTTAGCTACCTGTGCTCAGCCTCAGGGTAGACACCAAGTCCCCCGCTCCATCCCAGAACCTCCCGTTCTGGAAACAGGCCCATTTCGCCACCGCCCCCGGCCGAGCCTCACCTCTCTCAGGGTGGTCAGCGTCTTCGTGTGCACGGTGACCTGCTTGGTAAGGTCCCGGTTGTCCTTCTCCAGCTCCTTCAGCTTGCTGGCCGCATCCCGGCAGCGGGCCAGCTCTTTGTCCAGCGCACGGCTCTCCTTCTCGGCCGCGGACAGCTTGGCAGCGCTGTCATCCAGGACAGCATCCTTGAGCTCCACCTGCTGCCACAGGCGTCTGGTCTCCTTCTCCAGCAGCTTCTTGTCCTTCTCCAGCTGGGCCACCTCCTGCTCCAGCGCCTTCCTGTCCTGCTCGGCCCCCTCGAGCTGCTTGTTGGTGAGCTGCAGAGCCTCCAGGTCTCGCTTCAGAGACTGGCGCTCGGCCTCCAGCTCGCCCAGCTCCCTCTCGAGGGCCTGGGACTTGTGGCTGCTGCTCTCCAGGCTGTGCTGCAGGCGCAGGTTCTCGGCACTCACGCTCTGGTAGCTGAGTTCCAGGCGCTCCGACTTCTTGCTTAAAGCCTTCAGGAGCTCCACGCTCCTGCGCAGCTCCTCCTTCTCCTGCTCCAGCTGCTGGTTCTCCGCCTCAATCTGCGCCATCTTGGCGCTGGTGAAGTGCATGGCCTCCACCATCTTCCGGAGCTCCAGGTTCTCCTGGTCCAGCTGCTTGTTGTCCCGCTCTAGGCCCTCGAGCTGCACGGACACATTCTGCAGGGTGTCCAAGGACTTCCTCAGCGTCCGGTTCTCCAGCTCCAGACCCTCGACCTTCTCGGTGACCGTCTTCAGGGAGGTCACCTTCTTGGCCAGCTGCTCATTCTCCTTCTCCAGACGGTGCAGCTCCTGCTCCAGCACCTCCGCCCGCTCCCCCTTCTCCTTGGCCTCCTCCAGGTCTCTGTGCAGCTGCTTCTTCTCCAGCTCCAGCTGGCTGACTTTGCTGCCGGCCTCAGTCACGGCCTGGTGGAGGGCTCTGTTTTCCTTCTCCACATTCTTCGTGCTGTCGACCGGCGGCCTCTCCCGCAAGGACCACACAGCCTGGTGGAGGTGGCCCTTCTCCTGTTCCAGGTCCTTTATCTATGAGCAAGCACATTAGGCATGACCCAGGCTGCGTGCCACAGGAACCCACACCAGTGATTTGGGTTCACACGGGGGCTGCCAAGTAGAAAGTCTTCAATAGCTACCCATCCACAGCTCATCAAAACACACTCCATACAGTGAGCATGGTCTTAAACCTAAATGACACGTCTCTTTCTTGAAAGTGTTAGTGATTCCCGTGGTCCCCCCCACCCCTCTGTCATGGCCAGCAGGACTCGGTGGACACCCTGCCCGCCTCCACGGCCTTCTCTTGGGCAACACTCTTCTGTCTCCCAGCTTCTTCCTACTATGGATACGTTGGACAGGCTGCTGCTCTCTGTGCCTCGGTCCCTCCCATGTCTTCTCACCTTCATGGTCAGTGCCCAAGCAACCTTGCACAATGGCTCTGAAGCGGCCCTGCACCCACTAGCCTCCCCCACCTCCACCTCGTCTATTCACACAAGATCCCCCGTGCCCGTTGCCTTCCAAGGTAAGCTCCATGGACAGGGCCCCCATGTCTTTTCAGCATGCGTAGTGCCAGTCTGAACTTCCTCTCCCTACCTGTTACACATCTACACAGAAGCTAAAAACCTAAACTACCAGATACCCCAGCCTTGCTCTTTACCCTCCAGTTCCTTCTGTCCAGACCGTGGAGCTGTTCAGTAGCCTCAGAATGGCACCATTGGGCTACTCCATCAGTACCCTGGGACTTCCTAAAGTGGAAGCAAGCAGAGCCCTGCAGGTTTGCCAAGGTCTCCGCTCTGTCACTAACAGGCTATTAGAAATGGGTCATTGTCCTGTGCACTGCAGAATGTTTAGTAGCCTCCACCCTAGTTAGCTTTAACCGTCAACCTGACACAGCCTTGAGCCACCAGGAAGAGTCTCAAATGAGGGACTGCCCAGATCAGACTGGCCTATGGCAGACTGTCTTAATTATTTATTGATGTAAGAGGGCCCGGTCCACTGTGGGCAGCACCATTCCCTAGGCAGATAGTCCTGGGCTATATAAGAAAGTTAAATAAGCATGAGCCTGAGAGAGCCAGTATGGTGATATTTTATTTGTACTGAAATGTGATTTTATTTGTATGTTAATAAATAAAGTTGCCTGGGGGTCAGAGCTAATAGTAAGCCATAGCGGAGCTGGGCGTTCGTGGTGCACGCCTTTAATCCCAGCACTTGGTAGGCAGAGCTAGGTAGATCTCTGTGTGGTCAAGGAAAAAGCCAGCATTGGAGGCACACGCCTTTAATCTCAATACCAACCATAGAAGACCTGGAGGTCTGTACAGACAGGCAGTAACGAGGCGGTTATGTGGTTGGGTTTACAACCAATGAGAAGGCAGAACAGAAAGTCTATATAAAGACAAACACACAGGAAGTAGGTCTCTCTTGGCTGAAGAGGATAGCTGCAGCAGTGAAGGGTAAGGCTCTTAGCTCTGACCTCTTGGGCTTTTATCTTTACATTGGCTCTGTGTTTCTTATTTAATAAGACGGTTACTTCTACAAGCCAGAGAGCAAGCATCCTCCTCTACGGATCCTGTTGTACTTCCTTGGCTATGAGTGAGTTTCTTGGAAGTATGAAGGGTGGAGTACTAGCTTCCCTGACTTCCCTTATGATGTACCTGCAAACTGAAATAAACCATCTCTTCCTCTACATGGCTTTCGGTCATGGTGTTTGTCACGGCCACAGGATGAACCGCTGTGCCAGGGACTCTGGTCTTTTCCTTCCCAGAGTCAGAACAATCAGAACTATCTGAAGACACTGACAGAGGGGTGGAGGAGACATGGCCGTGCTCCTCAGCTCCTCTCCTGCTAGCATGCGCAAGTGAGGTGGTGACGGCGACGGCATGCCTACCTGCCTGGCCTTGTCGGCCTTCAGGGCCTCCATGTCACTCTGCAGCTGCTCCTTCTCTCGGATCAGCTCCTCACTGAGAGTCTCCAGGTCCTGGTTGCTCTGTTTTTCTCTCTCCAGCTGCGTTTGCAACTTTTCAATCTGCAGATTTAAAGATGCAGCCTGTGTGACGTCAGTCTAACCAAGTGAGCTGTGTTTCCACAGACAGATGACTGACAGACAGACAGACAGACAGACCCTTCTCTGCCCAGGCTATCCCCACAGGCCCTTGAGAAACAAGGTGTTAGTGTCACTTTGCAGCAATAGCCTCCTCCCTCCCTCCCTCCATCATCGACCTGACATCACCTGCGCTTCCTGCTTGGGGTAAGAGAAGTTACTCGGCAGCAGCCTGCCCTTGTCTGTCCCAGGTTACCCATGCTGCCTTGTGTCTGATCTACCCCATGTCTTGCTTTTTTTTCTTGACCTCATCTACTTCAAGCTCTGTGTCAGACCACATACCCCAACACCCAGTGCTGGATTCCCCACAAGGACTGTGTGGCTCCTTCCCTTTCTTATGCTTGGGGAAAGCACCCAGATGCTTGGGTTTTATCACCCACCCTCAGGTAAACCTGTCATCAAGCCCTGCCCCTTCTGCCCACTCTACCCGCCCCAACACTCCATGGCTGTTGCCCCAGACCAGACTGTATCATTCTGCCTGGACAGATGATAACCCTCCCATTACCACCTGCCAACCCTGGCTCTGAAGGGGGTGCGCGTTAGGACGCAGGCCCTGACTCGGCAGGGCTGCCAATCCTGTTCTCTGGAGATGCCCATGCTATCGTCTGCTCTGCCGAGGCTTTGAGCCTGGGCTGTCTCTTCCTGCTGTCACCAAGCGTATATTTCAGCATGAGACGCTGATGCTGGTCTCGAAGTGGCAAAGAGTCAAAAATCATGCTCAATCATGACATCTACTGACCACAGGTAGCTGACTCTCCCTGGAGACTTCAAGGCCCATGCCCACTTTCTGACTCGATGGGTCTGGGGTGGGGCCTAGAGATCACCATTTTATGTCATCTTCGTGTGCCTCAGGCTGCTGGTTGGGGGCCACTGCTCTAAAAGTGATGCTGAGAAGTATCTGAAGCTCAGCTGAGCCACCACTCAATCTGAACCTTTAAGGGAGGACCAGAGATGCCCAGGGACCCTGAGAGCACAGGGACTGAGCAGTGGCTCTCACTCGGCTGCCCACACTGAGGTGTTGCATGGACAAAGGATTAAGCTCCCTCCCACAGCTCCAAGCATCCCTGTCTATAGTGACTCCGCAATCTTTCTCCTTCTTGAGGTGCCACCCTCTACAGAAGCTGGGGTCCACCAGTGGGAAAGGTGGGGCCAGTAGGGGTGTGCATGCATCATGGTTGTTAGGAATCCCAGCACAGGACCCTAGGGCAGGCGTGCCTCATCCAGCCATGTTGGTTATGGCTTTCCAGAAGGGTGCTGTGAAGTGTCACACACAGGTCTTTCCCCAAATCAAGACCTCCTATCTCACCCGTATCTCTGTGCCATTCCTCATCCGAGACTTGATACTCAGAAGGGAGGCTGAGGTGACTCGGCACAGAGCAAGCTGCGGGGCCAGAAACAAGAAGTGCGCTCACAGTTGGGGAAGAGCAGTGGCCTGCAGGGGTCGGTGACTGGCCCAACACCTTTAAGAAGGGCGGGCCTTCTGTCCCTCCTGTGCATACTCCCAGGCCTGTGGGATGAGGCCCCCAGCTCTGCCCTGAGCTATGATGAAGACCACGCCTGTTGGCCTTCATCTCACTCCCCAAAATATGCTCGACCCCATTCCTAGAAAACCATGCCAGCCTTTGTGTCTGATGTTACCGCTGCTACCTAAACATGGGGTTTTCCTGTATCCTGCCTGACCCCTCTGGATAGCCTCCGTCTTTCTCCTTTCTTAGCTCTCTGTTCCACACTCTGCTGCTTACTGAAGACAGCACCCCACCCCCCACCCCATTGCCCACCGGCAAGCTGACTATGTTGGGCTGAGAGCTAGTTGCAGGAGCGTGAGCCTGAGAAAGCTCTGTCCTTACAGTTGGGGCTCAGACATTTCAGACAGCTGCTCCTGACTTCTCGCGATGGCCCCAAAGCAGGCAGGGCCCACCCCCACCTCTGATAACATGGAATCTTTTCCTAGTTGTCTAAAGGAGCTGAACCTTGGTGACACTGGTATAAAGTTACACAAGAACAGGAGGGAGGCGTCTCAAGGACCCAGGGAAGTACGAAGAAGAACACGAGCTCTGAGAACTCAGATTTCCACAAAGACCTCAGACCTACACAGGCTGCAGCCTGGCTGCTAGGGGTGAGGCAGGGGAACGCCAAGGACTCCCAGTGAGCCCTACCCCACAGAGGATGGCTGGGGTTAGAGAAGGAAATTAAGGGGAGCTGAGCTGGTTGAGTGTGACCTCCTCCTGGGGCTGAAGTGCTGACCCATCAAACACAGGGAACTGGGACCAAAAGACAGTCAGTGAGACCTGTATAAAGGACGGAAAACAGCCGCCGCCGCTGCTGGCTGGGCAGACTGCTGCCAGGCGCAGGGCCCTCTACGGGCAGGACACAGGACAGACAACGCTGGTCTGGGAGAAGCAACCTCCTCTAGTGTCCTACTGCTCCCTAGTTACTGGGAACTGTGGGAAGTCATGGCTTTCCGGGGACCACAGCAGGACAGGCTGGTGAGAGGCCACAGGACAGCTGAGGGGAAGCAGAAGAAGGTAGGACTGGACAGGGGCAGGAGCAGCCATGCTGCACGCTTGTATACAGAGGGTAGGCTATTGATGTCAGCTCTTTTTCACTTGGTCCAACACGGGATGCCCATTTAGAAAGACAGCCCCCTCTGGGACCACAGCAATCTCAGAGACCAAACCATGTGCTCACGTCTGCCATTTTTTGCTTTGCACCAAAAGACAAGGCACGAGAGAGGGGTGTCACCTACTGTCCCTTAAAGGAAAAACAAGGCATTTGGCAGCTAAAATGTCACATGACACACAGTACTTCAAAGGACCACGAAAGCTGTATTCTAGGAATACAGCTAGATGGTTCCACGAAGGTCCTATTCACAGCAGGAGGGTTTAAGCTGACCGCCCTGCACCCCCAGAAGAGAGAAAGCAGCGGAGGTAGGGTCCTTGGGGGCTGGTCTCCTCCCAGGAGCCCCTGTCCCCTTGCCCCCCACTGCCCCAGGTGCCTTATAGGGGACTGAGAAGCAAATCAAGGGAATGCAGACATGAGACACAGGTCCTACAGGAGAGCCACCAGTAAGGAAGTGACGGCTGTCTCCCTGGAGTCTGGTTAAGGGTCCCAGAGACACGGAACTTCCCGCGATGCACACTGGGCGCCCCTATGCCAGCCCGGGGAAATCACCTTCTTGCTAAGCTGCTGGTTCTCCTTCTCCAGCTCCCCACATTTGAGGCTGCTCTCCTCCAGTGCCAGCGACGTGTCCCGCAGCCCCTGGATGGTGCTCTGGAGGCTCTGGTTCTCCTTCTCCAGCTTCAGGATGCGGCTGGAGGCACACTCGTTCAGCTCGAACACGAAGGACTTCCTGGAGGCTGAAGTGCGGAGTCAGTCAGGGCCTAGCATTCTGGGAACCCGCTTCCACCCTCTGACACAAGCCGAGCTGTAGCGGGTAGCCATTCCAGTTTTGATCTGGAAGTTTCAACCCCCACTGAGGCTTCGGTAACTGTCACACCTACAAGGAGGGGCTGAGAGAGGCCCCTGAAGACCCAAGATCTGGATGGGCCAGCTCTCTTGGTTCCTGGACCCTGGATGCTGGAGTGAGACTGAGCAGAGTTCTCCAAAGAACACCGCCGGACTGTGCTACACCTTTCCCAGACCCTGTTGCCTATCCCTTTACTTGTAAGTTACCCCATACAATAAACCTCCCTTTTAACTACGTGGAGTGGCCTTAATAACTTCACCGATACCGAGCCCCAAGAGCTACCCCCCTTGCTTTCCATTCTCATCCCAATGGGACTGCTGCTTCAGCACCCAAGAGGGAGGGCCTCCGCTGGCAGTTGGGTAGTTGGGTCCGTTCAATCTAGAGCTTAAGGAGGAACTGGATGACAGTGTAGGAGCCAATCGTGGGACTTGAGGGAACCTGGATCACCGCACTGCTCACACAACTGACTCAAGGGTGGCAGGTATTTTCTGTGTCCACTCCAGGAGCAGTGAGCATCTAGGCTGCTGAGCAGGGAGGGCAAAGGGACCAGATGACTGTGAGTGAAGGAAAGCGGTGCCTGTATATGTGTGTATACAAACACACACACACACACATACACACACACACACACACACACACACACACACACACACACACACACCTATTGATGGCCAGTCTGGGCTAGAACCTTGATAGGAGAGATTAACTTCACAGTACACACACACACACACACACACACACACACACACACACACACACACCCCTTTTGCTGGCCAGTCTGGGCTAGAACCTTGATAGGAGAGATTTCCTCTAACTTCACAGTTACGTTGAAGAAAGTCAGACAACGCATGCAAAGCTGCTTTAGATGTCTCAGCGAGATGAGGTAAATGTTTTAAAAGGCATCTACTTTGCGTTCACATAACCCAGCACTTTGAGAGTCAAGGACTAGACTTCTTGATCTTTCCTCATACAAGCATGTGCAAGGCTTCAGGTAAGTCCTAGAGCTTCTCAGGAAGAAAGCTGCAGGCCTGGAACACCCTAAAGAAACAGTCAAGGCTGTTCCCCAGTCCCTCCTCTGTCTGCTCACCAATTCCAGCCTCATCGCACTACACTGCTGATGCTCTCTGCCCCTCCACTCCTGACTCTTACTTATCACCCAGGGTCTATGAGAGTGAGTAGAGAGGTGCTGAGGTCCTCAGTAAAGCCATCCACGTATGTCCAAACCCAGCCTGTGATGTTGCCTTGGGCACCTGTAAGGACTGAAGAGTTCGTGTCCTCTGCTGTGTAATCACCGACCAGAGCAACAGCACCGACCCAACAGGCCGTCTTAGAGACTCAAATCAACAATGGCAGCAACGGGGAGGGGCTGTGGTGACCACACAGTAGGTCCAATCTCAGCATCAACACAGGTTCAGAGACACTTGGGAGGCCTTCTCCCAGCTAAAGAAAGCAACCTAGCCATCACGGATCCTGGAGGAGAACCAACAACCATGCTTTACTAAACCAGCCTAGTGTCTAACCACATTCTAAATATGTATCCTGTGTAGGACTCACCAAGCAGAGGGAGAGCATGACAGAAACCCTCAACCAATCAAAATGCAGAGAACAAACCACCATGTGGTGCCCAGCCCCAACTGATACGTCTATAACACAACACCTGCACCTAAGGTCAGGGGTCACAGCAGAAGAGGGGGTGAGAAGAATGTGAGAGCCAGAGGAACAGGAAGTTGGCTGTGAGAGTTAATGCCCTAGAGATGTCAAAGAAGCTACACAAAGAAGTCTCCTCATCATGGCTACCCAGACAAAACCAACAGGACAATACCAACAGACACACGAACATGCCACAGGAAAATCACATGGGATCTCAACGTAGGCAAAGAATTACAGGTAACGAAGGAATGTTGAGAACAGGAGAAGTAGTCTTCCCCAGGCAAGAGGAATTGGTTATCCAATACCAAATGAAATGGCCAGCCCTGAACACACATGCATACAAGAGACAGTATATAGACTGAGTAGGGTGTATTTATATATTTAGCACTCTGTGTGTGTGTGTGTGTGTGTGTGTGTGTGTGTACATACAGTTATACAGAGGCCGTGAATTTGAGAGAGTGCAAGTGGGGTACATGGGAAGGATTGGAGAGAAGAAAAGGAAGGGGAGAAATTATATAACTATATTTTAATTAAAAAAAAAAAGGAACCTAAGTAAAGCACCTGGCCTAAAAATCCACTAACTCAACCTGTGGCCATTACTTCTGCAATGTTGGACATTACTTCTTCCTGTTGGACAGTACTTCCGCAACATTTATGTGGAGGTCATGTTTATAACGGTGAAATATACATAAATTTAGTATCTTAAGTGTTAATTTTTTATTACAATTAAATATGCATGTGCGTGTGCATGAGTGCACGCACATGGAAATCAGAGGACAACCTGCAGGAGTTGACACTCTCCTCCTATTAGGTGGGTGGGTTCTGGGCATTGAACTCAGGTCCTCAGGCTTGGCAGCAAGCTTCTTTAGCTGCTGAGCCGTCTCGCTGGCCTCATTTTGGGTATTTCACTACCATCCATGTTTCTGCTCCTCCCATGCTGAGACGCAGGACAAAGCGACTTTCAAGCTTCTACAAGTTCAACACCGGTACTGAGTGCAAGCAGCTTATCAGCAGCGCAAGCAAGCTCCACCCTGATCAGGCACAAAGGCTCGTTCATCAGACCACCTAGCAACCGGGACTCACAGGTACAGTAAACACAAATGGGGCCAGGTAGGGCTAAAGCCTCAGTCTCCTCCCGTGAGGCTAAGGGCAAGCCCGCCGCCCTGGTTTGGCAGATGGGGAGCTAAAGTTTAAAGACATGGTGTTACTCCAGGTCATACAGGTCACAAGCAAAGGAGCCAGCACTCTAAGCCGTGTCTTTTCCAAGTCCTTCTGTCCTTCAGAGCCCACTGGAGAGGCCGGGGTAGAGCTCAACGGTAATGGATGTGCTCTGTATACATGAGGCCCTGTCTTCAATCCGCAGTCCAAGCACAATCTGAAGTATTTAGGGCCAGGCACAGCTTAATCCAGCCACTCAGGAGAATGGAGCAGGAGGCTCACCTGAGCCCAGGAGTCTGGAGCCAGTTTAGGCAACATAGTGAGACCAAATGAGACCAACCAACACTATCACTAAGAATCACAAGCCCAGAGAGATGGCTCGGTGGTCAAGAGCTGTTCTTGCAGAGGACCTGGGTTCAGTTCCCAGGACCCACATGGCAGATCACAAGCACCTATAACTCTAGTTCCAAGGGATCCAAGACCCTCTTCTGGCCTCCGTGGGCACCAGGCATGCAAGCAGTACAGAGATATGCATGCAGGCAAAATCATGTGGCCAATGAGATGGCTCGGTGAGTAAAGGTACATGCCACAAAGCCTGATGACCTGGGTTTGGATCCTCACATGGTAGAGGAATAACCAATCCCCACAAACCGTCCTGACTTCCACGTATGCATACATATGTAAATAAATCTAATTTTTAAAATAAAAAAAAAAAGAAGAAATCAATCAATCATGGCCGTTGACCTTAAAGGGTTCATAAACTATATACTAAGCAGTGTGAATGGATCAGGCCTTTGAGCTTGGTCCTGGGAGCCTGCACCGCTTCTCCAGTCCACCAGGGAGCAGAAGTTTCTCCTGGTGGACTTGAACTTCATTCAGAGGCAGAAACAATGCCTTCTCCCACCCTGTGTGGCTCCCAGGCACCCCAGCTGGGCACACAAGCACCGAAGCAGACACAGTTCAGTGTCCACAGAAATGAGTTAATTCAACGCTTTCACGTTCAGGGCTGGTAAGAGCACAGAAACGGACCTGGGTAGTATTCTCAGGCAGTTTTTATCGGTATCTTTCAAACCTAAACCGAGTCAAACGCCCAAGCCTGCTCGGTCAAGTGCTAAGTCAGTACTAACTTGTTATGTTGGGTGCATGGGGAAGGTGAATGTGGCTATTTTCAAACACAGGAATTGGCTTATTGTTTGCTGGGCGCTGGAGCTTCCTGCTACAGTGCTGACTGGGGTCCCCCACCCTTCCCATAATGCACACCTTATCTCAGGGTGCCGGCAGAGGGCAGCAGTGCGTGCCAGGAAGGAGGACTCCCCTCCCCCTCTTCCCCCAGGAAGATCTATAAAGAGCCTGAGACTGGGGACCAACAGCCACTTATCATCTCCACCAGGGAGACAGGACCGGCTGTATCCATCCTGCCCAATTATGCAAATGAACAGGGCAGATAATGTCCAGGGTCCATTTATAATAAGGATTAGTGATCACTGGGGACACTTCTGGTGTCAGGGCTTTCTGTCATCAGCAAAGAGCTGTGATCTGGAAGCTCCTGAGTGTCCATATGGGAAACCAAGAAATCCCAACACTTCATTTGTCGTTTACTTCCGGGCATCCGGGCTGCCAGGCCACTCACGTTTCCCCTGGGGACGACCGTAGTCAAACAGCTCCAAATGGCACTTGAGGAAATCACATTTACTTGTGGAGAATCGATGGGCTGTTAGGAAGACGCAGAGTCAGCCGAGGGCTCGGCACTACCTACCATCAGACAAGTCTGCGTTCTTGGACAGCTGTTCCAGCTCCCAGCCCAGGTGGGCCGACTCATTCATACTCTGTTTCTGTGCGATCTCCAGAACCATGTTTTCTTCCAGCAGCTCCTCAATTCGTTTCTTATCTGTGTCCCGATCCTAGGGCAGAAAGAGGGAAAGTGTGAGAGGTCTAACTGGCCTCAGACACAAGTATCCACCACCACCCACTCAGAAGGACAGAATGCTTCCTTTCAGACAGAGCGCTGTACACAGACACCCCACTCAGGCCCCCACTGCCCTTGGCCTGACTAGGTTAAGAAGGAAGTCCTAAGGTCTCAGTGAACACTCTGAACGTAGGAACACAAGGAACAGTGCTTTGCAATATTATATATACTGTGGTGACGGGCAGCTTGTTGGCTCTAGTCTCTGCAGCCTCAAAGGCTGTGACAGGGATGACACGCCAGTGCTCAACCCACTCAAGAGCCACTGAGGACCCTTGAAAAAGACATATGTGCTCATCCTTACAGAAGCAACATACAAGTCAGGGCCTAGCTGTTTCGAGGGCAGTTAAGTGTCCACTTGAGCCACCGAGCTTTGCAAGCTCTTAAGTTAGCAGGCTGGTGGCAGGCAGCAAACTCGGAAGCTGACACATCCCAGGAGCTCGCGCCTCCTACACCCCCGCCATCGCCTCTTTACATGGCACCCGCTACATTCCTACCAGTTCCAAGTCATGGAGTTTAGATTTTAGCTGCAAGTTCTCCTTCTCCAGCTCGTGGACTTTATCGCCTCGAGCACGGGCGGCGGTCAGTTGCTCCTCCAACATGGCCTTGGTCTCGATTAAGATGATGTTGTCTTCTCTCAGTTCCTGAAGAGCAAAAACCAACAGGAGAGCCGTCAGATAAAGGCCAGGGTCATGACCACAGGAATGCCAAACAAAGTGCTTTCAGACCCTGGAGCCAAGCAACCAGCCGAGGGACGCAGGCGGTGGGAAGCTCTGCATCTAGTCCTTCTCAGCCTCACCGGTTCCCTTGAGGCCAGGCAAGTAACTCTCAAAGAAAAAAAATTCAAGAATCAAGAAAATGTTTAATGGTGCTGGGGTGTAGATCCGTACAGCGCGAATGCTTTGCATACACAAGGTCCTAGGGGTTGATCCCCAGCACAGTAGATAACAAGGAACTTTGGGGGAGGCAACCCTTCCTCGAGGTCTTCCACAGCCAGATGACCCTCAATTTGGACCCCACTGGAAAGAGGACTCTGCTGACAATGGGGGTCACCGTTTGCCCGAGTTTCCTTTAACAAAGGGAAGTGAAGGGAGTGGCGGAGAGACCCGAGGGGACAGAGCTCAGGACTGAGTCGGATCCTCTATCCAGTATTTAGGCCGGACAAGAAGGGGGACAGTCAAGGCACAGCACAGCAAAGCAGGAAACACGAGTCCCAGACAGGCACAGGCAGAAACTGGCCTCTGCTGGCATCACAGGAAGAGGCCAATCTATGGGCCACGCCTACCAGACCCTGTCCTGAGCCTCTCATGTCCCATAAGCCCTTCCTAGAAGCACTTGGTGTCCTGGGTGGGAGGTGGTGTGGCTTGCATGTCTCCCACATCCTCACAGTTTATAAACAGTGCATGCAGGGAACTGCCACCTTCCTGGGTGGTGAAGATTCCCAAGACTTGTCGCACTCACAGACTGCAACAAGGACCAAGGCTGGAGCTTCCACGTACCCACCGTGTACTCATTCTCCCACATGGGCCTGAATCCAAGCTTCCTGGTGGAGGAAAGCACTCATGGACATGGGCTTGATCAAAGCTGGCCCCGGGAAGCAGATCATTGATTTTAGAGTCTCCATTTTGCCTCCAGAGACTCCATGCCTGACAAAGACCACATCACTGTGGCTGGTCCTCCCTCGCCTGCTCCTCACAGCACCCCTCCGAGGGCAGGCAGGTCAGGGTCAGGGTCAGTCTCTTCCTATAGACAAAGGACCAACTCAAGTGCATTAAGGAAGGCGCCCAAAGTCACAGGCCTGCTGTAGGCCGAGGCCAAAGTTCCCACTTAGGCTGCAGGCTCAGACTCTGTGTTTTCTCCATGGACCTTACTTCTCAAGGGCCTCTGGTTAATAAGAGGCCCAGATTGCCACCAATGACATAAGACAGAAAACAATCAATGAGGGTCTCAAATCAGCAAAAGGGTCCAGCATCCTCTTGTGGTAATATAGTGTGTACCCTAATAAACTTGCCTGAGGATCAGAGGACAGAGCCAGCCACTAGATTAAACAGAGAGGTCAGGCAGTGGTGGCACGCACCTTTAATCCTAACACTCGGGAGACAGAGATCCTGGATCTCTGTGAGTTCAAGGCCATACTGGACTACATGAGATCGATCCAGTATAGGAGAGAAACAGTGCTAGGTAGTGGTGGTGCACACCTTTACTCCCTACACTTGAGATCTCATGCCTTTGCTTGGGAAGCACACACGCCTTTAATCCCAGGAAGTGATGTCTGGGCAGAGAAAGGTATACAAGGCATAAGGAAACAGGAACTCACGCTCTTTAGGGTGAGGATTTTGCAGAGGTAAGAACTAGTGGCTGGCTGCAGTTGACTTGGGAGTCTACTTTGTCACTAAGTTGGGTATTTGGGTTTCCATCCTTCCCTGCTCCTGCTCTGAGGTAATGGTGGCTGTCCTGTCCTCTTTCCCCACTCTGGAAACTTTTGGGGACAGGACTGTTACACTTCTTTTCACTGAGTCTTGTAGCAACGGGGAGCTAGAGGTGGCCTATGCGGTGGTCCTTGAAGGACTCGGATACTCTGACAAGCAGGACAGCACCAGCACCCAACATGATCATCTCTGAGCACCTTCAAACGGCCTCTGCTTTAGTCTCGACATCCCCAGTATTAGGTAATGACATTCCACCCTGCTCTGCACATCTACCTCCACCTCCCAGGACCACGAGCAGCCAGGAAGGATGCTATGGTCAAGCTCCTACAGGCCGAGGACTCCACTAGTGGTCTGTAGGGGTGAGAAGGCTGACTCCATTGCTCTGGGCAGCTATCCGGCATACCTATCCGGCATACCTATCTGCCCTAACCAGGAGGCTGTTACCAAGCCCAAGCCTGCCCTGCCCACAGCTGGGGTGTTTATACAGCAATAGGTTAGACTAGAGGTCCTGTCCCCAAGCGACTTGAAAGTCCACTCCTGATCTGCCATTGTGACTTGAAAGAGTGGGGTGCGTGGGCCAACTCCATCTCGACTATGAACTCTAGCTGTAGGAACTCCCAGGTTGGATAACGGTGTCTAAGTGAAAACGTGGATTAATAATGTGCGTACAATTCCCAGTGCCCAATGTCTGAACTCCCCAGCTCCAGTCACGGACCCTTCACACCTGCGAAGGACAAAGTTCAACCCAGCACTCACCCAGGAAGCAGCTCCCTTGTCGACAGACAAAAACTGTTTTGCAAGGGCTTAGGGGTGTTGCTGAACAGCGGAGGACTTGCCTGGCATACACGAGGCTCTCGGTCCTGTCCCTACCACCAAAACACAAAGCAAACAACAAAAAACAACTCGTTTCCAGGAGTGCCTCTTGACCCCCCACGGACACCGAACACCGGAGGGGATGTGGAATCAAAGCAAGTCTCTTTTCCAGTGAGCTTGGGATCACAACACACAATGGCTCCCGGCGTCCACTGCAACGGAAAGCCCAAGAGTGCTGAGGGAAGGAAGAGCTGGGCCACTGGACCCATAGCAACAGGCCTCTCACTCCTTCCTGCCCTGTGTCTATCCCTCACCCAGTGCCTCACCCCTCAGCCACAGAGCGTCAAGGGCAGGGTATGTTCTACCCTGACCCTGACGGCCGCCGGCCTGCCTGCCTGCAACATGGCCTGACCTGAAGAAATGTAGGGACCAGACCAGAAACCAAAGGTCCCCTCTACCCTGTTCAACTCGATAGATCTCATCACAGTCCCCAGAAGCAACAAAGGACACCCCAAGGCAGAAAGAACAGAAGACTACCCACCCAGCATCTGAGTTCCCCTCGGCCAGCAAGCTCCCTGGAACTTAACATTCTTCACTTGGGCCATGATTGCTTAGCTGGGCATGAACTGGGGGAGCCTGGGGTCTCTCTGTAAGCACCTCTAGTCCTCCTGTACCACCCTTCTAGCCCCTTTTCTTCCCCTTAATGGCCAAGGCTCCCCCTCATTCTCTGGCAGCCAGTCAGGGCTCTGGAGACTGCCAGCCACATTCCTATCCCAGACCGCTTGCTTAGCAACTGTGATGCCTTTTCTTGTCTGGAGAAAGGAGGCTGCTACACCTCACAGGGTCACTGTGGGCCTTAGATGCTATGGTGGACCTAGAGCTAACCACAGGCCAGGCTCTACAGTCACTACCGCTCACTTAAAGGCCTCACTCTGTGCACCTGCTCTGTAAAGGACCAGAAAGCAACACTCTCTGTTGGGATTAGAGGATGTGGCATCATGTTCCAATAAAACTGTACCCATAAAAGCCAACGATGGGCTGGGTTTAATCTATAGACTATAGCTTGCTGGCTCGAGAGCAGAGAATGTCCCTGGCACAGAGGCCTTACAATCAGAGAGGCACATACTATCTGCCCGGGCTGAGTCTGGTCAGGAAACACAGACAGAAACACACATCACAGTAATACCATATTTTATATACTGCCCAGAAAGATGAGGGAGGGGTGCTTATAAAAGAAACGCGAAGCAGGAGATTGGGGACATGGCCTGCTGAGCTCACCGACCCAGCCCTGCTTTCTGGCCCCAAGCGGACAACTCCCGAATGAATGAGCAGGAGAGGCAGGCAACCTGTAAAGTCTGCTGCAGAGGCCCGGGTGTGTGTGTGTGTGTGTGTGTGTGTGTGTGTGTGTGTGTGTGTGTGTGTGTGTGTGTGTAGGGGGTGTTGCCAAAGGGCCCCAGCACTGAGTGCTGGACAAAGGGAGAGCATGGAGTCATTCCCACGATGGAGAGGTATACGAGAGACCACTGGAGAGGGCACCCCAGGAGCAGGCCAAGGGACTGAGCAGCAGTCAGTTTACATTCAGGGAGGGCTTCTGTGTACAAGCCATGGAGTAACCAGAGCAAGCCAGCAGGAGGCAGCCAGGGGACTGCACAGGCTTCAGAAACCTCCCGAGGAGGACAGCAACATGCTGGGAGGTGGGGACACGGGTGTAAAGGATGGTGGGCCCCTGGGCCTGATCCATGTGGGGTGGGGTGAGGTGAGGAGAAAAAAGTGGAGGTGAACCCCTGCACAAGTGCAAGGAAAATGACTGGACCCCACGGTCAACAAAGGCCAGTATAGAGACAGAAACACAAACAGTGATTCTGGACACATTAGCTGAGACTCCTCCGGGATGGAGATCTGAGAGCAGGAAAGGAGCTAGCCCAAGGCTCACGGCACCGGGCGCTTACCATTACTGAGTCCTGGGCATCTCTGGCTGAAGGTGACAGGCACATCTAAAAGAGCTAGGAACCTCAGGGTACAGGGGAGCGAGTCGGCCTGGGGTCAAACTCTGTCCCTTCCTGACCCTGGACCCTACTGCTGTCATCTTAGGGGTGTGATCTTGGAATGGGGGTTGTTAGGTACGAAACACGCTGGAACTGGTCATTAACCAAGCTCCTAAAGGCCGGGGCCTTGCCAGTGACCCACCCATCTCTCTGGCTGCCTCTTTCCCTGCAAGACCTGTTCCAGGGCTTTTATCTCCACTCAGGGTTCTCTACAGAGAAGGGCTGGCTAGGATAAGCTCGCTGCAGGCATGCCTCTGTGCCTGGGATGCCAGGGCAGAACACACCCCTCCTTTCATATCAGGACAAGACTTCCCCAGCACTTGGCAGAATAGTGCACTGCTGGGTCTCTGCCCCTCTGATTACTTCGAAACTAGCACTTCTAGAAGGCTGTTGATTACACAGCACAGGGAAGACCACTGCCACTATGCCCAGGATGCACACAGCATTCGGTCATCTGCCTTTTGCCTTAGGCAGAAATTTTAAGCCAATCCCAAAACACTGAAAAACAAAACCTTCCAGGCGGTGTCTCTTCCCGACAACCCGGACGGCAACCGTCTTGCCCCAGGCAGTGGCCCCGAGGAGCACCGTTTTCAAAGGGAAGTCACGCGGTCTGACTGTGTACCCACTCCACACTTTTTCCTGTCTCTCTACTGCTCCCAGTTACATGGTTTCAACCCTTCTGCGAACTAGACCAGGAACCACAGAAAAGCTGCTGGAGTTTAAAAACAAACTGCAAACTTGTGGTCTGCATTTTACTAGTGAAATTCCACTTGCCCTTGGACCTGAGCCCTTCCTTCATCTTCTCCTCCCACCAGCAACTGACACACTCTTCCTCTGGGGAATCTGCATTGGTGTCATCGGAGAGGATGTCCTGGTCACCCCACCCCCACCCCAGCACCGTCACCTAGACGCGTCACCAATGTGGACAGATGATGCAAAAGCTATAGCCAGACTCTTGCTTAGATGAGCCTGCTCACCTGCCCAGGATAACTAACTCCACTCATTCCAGTCTCAAGGAGAATGAAGCTCAGGCTTCTCCCCTGCAGAGCACAGAACTCCACAGAGCAATGGCTTCCTTCACTTGGGGCAGGGGTTCCCAAGAAGCTTGTGCCTTCTGCCATGTGAGGTGGAATCCCCAGGCAGGGCTGGAAGCCCACACGGACAGAGCTGACCACAGACGGGTATTGAGTTCTGTAATTCTTGCCTGTGCAGGTGAGCAACCTGCAGCCGAGAGCCTCTGTGGGAAAGAATGCAGGGTAGCGCACGCCCCCGCCATCGTAGCACCTCAGGAGGCAGAAGGATCCAGCCTAGGTTACACTGTGAGGCCCTGTTTGAAAACTGGCAAAGGTCCACCAGCATGGGGGTGCAGAAGCACCATCTACAGAAATGCACTTGTGAGGCCGGCTCCTTAGGGACTCGAGAATCCAGGAATTCAATCTCTATCTGTATGGGGGGAGGGGGCGGTGAGGTAGAAATCCATGTGTCAAGAAGGCCAGAGGTTGGTGCTGAGCATCTTCCTCAATCACTGACTGGCCAGCAAGTCCCAGGGATCCCCTATACCCACCTCCGCAGAGCTGGGATCACAGGAGCAATCTGAACTCAGGCCTTCACGCTTGTGTAGCAAGCACATTACCAACTGAACCATGACTAACATTCATCTTTGAAAAAGAAGGCGTGTGTGGTTTTTTATATGTATAGGTGTTTTGCCCACGTGCATACCTGGGCACCACACACATGGTGCCCAGAGAGGCCAGAAGAGGATGCTGGATACCCTGGAATTGAAGTTTGACAGTTGTGAGCTGCCATGTAGATGCTGGGAATTGAACCTGGGGCCTCTGAAGATCGACCAGTGTTCTTAACCACTGATGAGCCATCTCTCCAGCCTGAAATGTGTGTTCTTAACAGGCCCCTCAGCTGATTCAGACTACAGCTTGAGAAATGAAGAGCTAAGATTCAGGGAAGGAAGAAGTTTCATAGCTTCAAACTCATATTTCTGTTTCATAATTAAGTTGATGTGGTCAACCAGGTATGCACCTATCCAAAGGGGCTAATGTCCTTTCATTAGACCATCCGGTGTTTTAGACAGGCAAAGTAACACAGCTTCACAGAGCTAACCAAATGCAAATTAAAAGAATACATCTTTGCATCATTAAACAAATGTAACATCTTAAAAAACATTCCACAACAAGGGGACTGGCCGTGTCCCTGTCATTCCCATGACTGTCTCCACATTGCTCAGTCAACATCACCACAAAGTTAACCTCATACCAAAAAGTGTGTCAAGTGTGGAGAGGCCAAAGAAGGTATCACAACTGTTCTTCACGTTCTCCAAGGGGTAAAGACACTCACATGGCTGTTGGGAATTCCCAACCCAAGGAGCATCCAAGTACTGTGTGCTCCACCGTTACCTGAGTCCTGGGGTCATACTCCAGAAGCGCAAGCTTCTCTCAGGCCCAATTCACCAGGTGGCTCTGACCCCACAGTTTCTGCAAACCCATGCATGCATCATTACCTGCCCTGAAAGGTCTCATATAGACAAATACATTCTTTCTACTAATAGAACGAATGTGAACCCTAAACTACTTACTTCATGATGACTTGTGAAATTAACAATATAAAAAGTGTTGCTGTACTAAACTGAGTCAGGTGTTGAGAAAATGGGTGGGAAAGAGTCTCCCTGCAAACTTCTTTCTACGTCTAGATATTCTCTTTTGCAGCGAGCATGACTCCCATATCATTTTCATCATCACCACCAGCAGCAGCAGCTCCTAACAGAGTAGATTGTCTGCATATTCCAGGGAGAACATTGGGACAATGTTGGAATGAATGTGGAGTCTGGATCTGGGACCCCCCCATCTCTGGGGAACAGAGTACTGGAGTGAGTCCTGGCCACCACACTGTATTCCCGACCCTGTCTGGCAGGGGAACCTTTCGAGATCACAGCTTCAGAAGGACGTGCTGAGGCAGCAGTTTGGGAAACCCGAACAAGACTGCGCCTGAGGCTCCAACGGTGGCATCTGAGTAAGCATCAAAGCCCAAACGGCACACACTCTCCACCTAGAGCCCTTCAGGCCAGAACTTACACCTCTCAACATGGGCCGAGGCAGTGAGCCACGGAGCTGTTCCTAAGACAGAGGAAGGAAGGCCTGGGCCCCTGCTCCAGCTCCTTGCCCAGAATCCAAGGTGTCTTCTTAGCAGGGAGCAAGGTGAGTCATCCGGACACTCACATGCCTCAGGGGGACACTCCCTGAGTGGGTCTGAGAAGCAGTGCTCAGCCATATCCTCACCTCAGCAACCCTGGCTGGAGCGGGGTGAGTGTGTCAACAAGAAAGGGACGTCCCACAGCAGGGATGTCGGGGCTGCGAGACCTGTGCTCAGTGACCCCAGAAGCTACCAGGCCACCAAGAACAAACACCAAGAAGGACAGCTGGAGCTTAGGAATTCAAGGCCATTGTGGGCAGGATGGCAAAATCCAATCTCAAAAAGAAAAAAAAAAAAGAGGGGGACAGAGAGTGGGCGAAAGCACCTGCTACATAAGGTTGACAACTCCAGCTCCATCCCTGGAACCCACATCCAAACTAGACACAAGGGGGTGGGGAGGTAGGCTCAGTGCTTAACACTTCCCGGCACCCATCCCTCTAGAGCAGCTCACAACCACCTCTGACCTCTGACCTCTGAAGGTCACACACGCACACAGTCCCCCACCTGCAGAGGCACCATTAAAAATAAGGTTCATCTTTTTTAAAACTTTGAAAAGCCAGACGCGGTGGCACACAATCGTTGTCACGGCACTCCGACAGTGACGTGGGAAGCAGCCCCCTGGAGTCTGCAGCAGCATCGCCACAGCAACAAGGTGGCTCTTTCGGCCTCAACAAGGGAAGAGAAGGACAATTTGGGAAAGTCACCCTGACCTCCACACACAAGTGTGCCCACACTTACAAACACGGTGGGTAAAGTAACCATGATACGCTGGCACAGCCTCCACTACCTGTGGGTAGACTAGGGGCCCCGCACTCCACAGTGCTCATCTTCATCTTATTTTTATTTTATAGATATGGAAACTGACACCTAGCAGATAGCCCAGAAATTGCAAACCTTAAGAAGCAGACCAAAACAAAACAAAAAACACCCCCCCAAAAAACCCACACACATAAATAGAAGTCACCATTATGTTATTGTGATGACTGGTTTTATGTCACCTTGTCACAAGCTAGAGCCATTTGGGAAAGGGGACTCTCAATTGAGAAAATGCCTGGCCTGAAGGAGTTTCTTAATTAGAGACTGATATGGGAGGGTCGTTGTGGGTGGTGCTATGCCTGAGCTGAGCAAGCCAGTAAGCAGCACTTTTCCATGGCTTCGCCATCAGCTCCTGCTTCGAGGTTCCTGCCCCGACCTCCATTAACGATGAACTAACTACAAGCTGCAATATAAAATAAACCCTTTCTTCCCAAAGTTCCTCTAGGTCGTGGTGTCTACCACAGAAATAGAAACCCCAAGACAGGCATGAAGCAGAAGAAAGAAAAACCAAAAAGCATGGCTGCCCTTCATCAGTCGACGCTGTTCCCCCTCACCCACCCGACATTTGGAGACGAGAGGACTAGAAGGGGAGCCAGGAAGGACCTAGGCAGGTGGGCTGTGGAGGAGGCAGCTGCTGGAGTATGGCTCTCTGCTCGGATCCTCCAAGGACACATGCTTGGGAGGCTGTGTCCAACAGCACTGGATGGAAGCCTATCTGGCCCCCTCACTCTATCTCGATGGTGGCCACTTACCTCCATGCGAGCCTTGTAAAAGTCCACATCGTGCAGCTTCTCCTTACATCGGATTAGTTCCATCTCCAGTCTCTCCACACGGTTAGCCTTTTCCCTCAGCGAATCCAGCTCATCCCGATAGGCACGGGCTGACCGGGCATCAGCCGCCAGCTGGATATTCTGTAAGATTGGAGAAGGTGAAAACCCAGTTTAAAGCCTTCATCTGAGGAGGAAGAAAGGGTCAAATCCCTATAGCGTGGGATCTCCTGGTGGCCTAGGAGCTCCGTGTCCAGGCCACCCTGTGGAGTCTCCCACACTTTCACTAAGAAACACGGTTGGCACCCCAGGAAGCTCTCAGGACAACAACTGTGGACACCTTTGCTGGACAAGTCCCATGCTACATCCTGAACCCCTGGAACCGGTTACTGGGGAACCCCAGCCTCAGCCCCTGTACACGCAGGCTCAGGACTTGTGCTCACATCTTGCTTGGCCTTCTGAAGCTCCAGGACCAGCTGGTCCACCTCGTGTCTGGTATCTGCAAGCTGCTCCGTCTTCTCCTCCCTGCACAGGTAATTAGGAGAGAGTGTGAAGGGGAGGATGTTCCTTGGCGGGCTCTGGGAACAGGTTGCTACTTCTAGGACCACAGAGGGGAAAGGAAGGCATGCAGGCTTCTGGAAGTCTAGGAAAATGTTTGTGATGTTTATTCTGTGTGTTTGTACACACATGTGCATGTGCTGACTGCGGTGTGTGTGTGTGTGTGTGTGTGTGTGTGTGTGTGTGTGTGTGTGTGTGTGTGTGTGTACACCCGCTCACTTGTGCAAGTACATGAAGTTCCCATAGATTTGATAGTTCATGTCTTCTGAGAGTCTCTCGTTGAAGTAGGGGCTTGTTTCAGCTAGACCGGCTAGCCAGCAAGTCCTGGGATCCTTCTGTTTCCACCCCCAGTGCAGGGTTACAGATGTGCTATTATGTGGGTGCTGGGATTCCAAACTCTGCAAGTCCTGTACCCACTAAGCCAGCTCCCCAGCTCAAAATCCTTAGCTTTTTAACATGCACCCTTAACCCAGACCCAATCACCACCTATTGTCCCCATGTGTACAAGACAGCCCGGTCGTAGCTCTGTGAGTCCACAGATGGCTCTGTGAGACCAGACATGGAGAGGTAAGGCAGAGCAACTCCCCAGATGAACAAGCCACATTCACAACTTCGAGAAAACAGGAAAGAACCGAGAGCCAAGAAGACACTCTGTTCATCCCAGCCCTACACCAAGCCTGCATGGATAGCGGCCTACTTTGATCGACAGTCAGGCTGGAGCCTAAGCACCGGGAAGCCCTCCCTACAAGTGCAGGCCTGCAGAGGGCTGGTGATGAGCCTTCAGCCACGAGGAGCTCGGTCGCAGCAGCCCCACCATCTGAGCTATCCCACAACACCACACGTGCAAGCCAAGTTCATGGGAAGACCCGTGTTTGGTTCAAACCACAGCGAAGAGGAAAAAGCGGCCGGACTCACAGCTCCTGCCTGACGCGCCGCAGCCTGGCCTTAGTGTCAGCCAGCTCCACGGCCAGGTGCTGCTTGTCCTCGCTGGACAGGCTGCTGGTGGGGCTTGGTGTGGAGTCTGGGCTAGAGAACTTGCCGGGGCTGGGAGGGTGCTGCGCCTGGAGGTAGTCCCTCTCTTGTGTCAGGTCCACGATCAGCTGCACAAGACAGGGAGAAGACGGGGATAAGCAGGTTCGCTGGTGCTCCCTGGACTGGCCCAGTGTCTAGGCCCAGACTAAATGAAGAACCACTGAGACAAGAGACTGAAAACCAGGAGGGGGAGGTACTATTAAGTGTGAAGAAAGAGTAGCAATGGAAACAGACCCCACCCATGCTAGGCACCCTGGTCAGACCCTTCCTGTGGGCGTCTCTGCTAAGACCCATTCACCACAGGGGCTACACCCAGGGGGAATACCGGTGTCCGACCCCAGAGAGCCTGACCAGCAGGCTGGGAGGCATTCAGACCAGAGAGAGGGAGAAAAGCTGAAGGAGAAAAGCCATGTCAGGGACCCATCCGGCCAGCCACAGCTGCCCCACAGGCACACCTCAGTGCACTCGTCACGTTCGTCGATGAGTCTGCGGAGGTGGAACACCATGTTTCTGGAGAGGGCCTCCAGCTCCTCTGGGGCCACATTTGGCAACTCCAGCCACTGCAGGTCAAACACGTTCTCCTGGTTGTGGGTCACCTGTGGGAACATGGTCCAGGATTGCAGAGGCTGCTGTGCGTGGCTCTGGTATTCCTGAACACCCAGGGCCATGTGGTGTGTGGCCCAGGCAGAGCCAGAGCCGACCCTACACCTCATTCCCATACAAGGAACAGCAACTTACTCCCCAGACCTCCTTAAGCCCTCAGTGATAAATTTCCCATGCCTAGCAGAGGGGCTCCTTAAGGCAGCTCAGAATTCTGGCATATAAGCTGCTTCCTCTTTCCTAGGATGACAAGACACTCACATTCTCTGGGATGCTGCAAGCTGCATAACTCACAACATAGAGAAGGTGAGCCTTTCAATGCGAGGACGAGAAACAGGGCTTACCTTATTTCTTAAAATAAAATCTAATGCAAACAGAACAAAAATGTTAAGCCCCTTAGTTCAGAATAGCGCATACACAGCGACCTTGGTCTCTTCGGGGGAGCTATTTATGGTCTAAGGCAATTTTGAGGCCTGAGTCTCATTCCCACAGACCACAGAGGGCAGCCTGGCTTCACCACTCTCCTGAGCAGAGAGCCGAGGATGTGCTGAGCTGCCCTCCTCTTGTCGTCGTCGGAAGAGAAATAGAGTAACACACGGGTCTCATGGGGATGGTAACACCAGGGAAAGAGAGGCATCCACTGCGGAGGAACCCAGATGTCTAAACTGAGAGAAATCTTATCCCATGGTACCCTGCAGCCAGATTCCGAAGGCCAAGTCCTCAGCCTGATCTGCGTTAGGGCTGGGGAGACCCTGAGTCTCAAGGCCACTGTGGACGGCTTCAGGGTCTCCAAGCGGCACATGGTCATGCTGAACTTTTCATTACAGGCCCAATCTCCTCCTCCCTTGATTCTAACAAGAGGCTCCACAGCAGATCCTGGGCATGTAGGCTTTAAAGAGGTACCCAATGAATTCTTAGGCTAGCTTCCACAACTGCTAGTCTACACAAGCCTCATTGGTGGTATATTTCTTTTCTTTTCTTTTTTTAAATATCCTGCTGTCTGGGCAGGAAGAAGAGTGAGTGGCAAAGAGCTGACAAATCTCAATGACCTAAGTCCCTAGACACACATATCTTCAAAACACAATACCCACAAGGAAATTAAAAGGCAGACTATACTTCTTAAACTCCAAGGAGCACAGTAATGGTTGAAAATATGTATTCAATACGGACTCTCTCCTATGCAGCTTTGCTGGGCCTCCTCCTACTGCACACAATGAGTGGTGTGGCATCAATCTCCTACTTCAAATCCTGGCTTAAAGCTCTGGATCCTGCAGTGCCCCGGGCACTGTGGGAGCCAGGTATCCCAGCCCAAGTCACCAGCACCTGCCAGGAAGGCCCTGTGTCTGGCGCCCCTTCTAATTGCACAGTGGCTCTCGCATGGTCCCATTCCTGCGTGTACCTACTTTGTCTAATTAGAGCGGGTGCTGAGCCCTAACCAGGCACCTAGCACCAGGACACAGGTTCATCCCGGGTGGACATCCACCCCACCAGGAAGCCACCTTTTCAGATGAGACCACCTCAGTCAACCTCAGGCAGAGGGACCTTCCCTACGGCAGTGAGCATGTCAAGCGGGGCCTCCTGAGGCAGCCAGTGTTCTCAGGACTTGCTGGCTCTGACATCTCCCTTGGTGGCAGCTTGTTTCCTTGTGTATCACTGACAGCAGCAGAGACTCTCTATAAAGATCAACTGTTCAGAGCGGGATGACATTTGCCAGAATACATTTTCAGGGCCTATAAATCAAAGTCTGAGCCTAAACCATTTGACAGCTCTTAAAAATAGTCTGAGTCCATATAAGGCAAGAAGAAGCAGGCAGAAGATGACTTGATTGAAGTGTTCAATTTTTTTTTTTTTTTTTAAACCTCTATTTTATTTTAGCTTGCTGGTGGCCACCTTTCCAAACAGAATCAATGTGTCTGTGGTCTTGTGAAACCTAGAATCAGTGGAACCACTCACAGTGGTGTCGTTCTCAAACTTTTCCACTACGGAGATGCTGCCCCTTGCTGTAACCCCAGCATCCATGGCCATCCCAACCCCCCAGTGCCTACCTCCTGGATGTGAGCCACAATGCCAGCTTGGGTCTCGATGTCCAGCTGTTTGATTCTCTCAATGAACTCCTCTTTTCTCTCACACTGTGAAGGGTTACACAAGTCAATGGAAGTATTCATCCAGGTACAGAAAACGCAGGTGACAACCACAGCCACACCAGCCTGGGGTCCTTGTACCCTGCCCGCCCCTCCCCCGACACCAAGACGGCACAAAGCTCCTCTGGCCGCCTACAGGGGACTGGCTTCAGAGGCTGGCCTTCGATCCCTCCCGGGTCAACACTTAGGTGGGGCACAGAAATGCTTGCTTCACACAAGCTCTTCACAAGCAGGGGGAACATACCTGACTCGGGGCGGGGGCAAGCACACTCCGACCGTAAAAGGCCGGAGGGCATCTGTGTCTGCTGGGTGGCACCGGGGACAGAACCCGAGGTTTTATACAGACTAGCCAAGCGCTGTTACTAAGCTTGGTGCCAGCCCTTTGTTTTTTTGAGACAAGGTCTCTGTAGTCTAGGTTACTCTCAAATTCACAATGCTCCTGCCTCAGCCCCCCAAGTGCTAAGATCACGGGTGTGTGTCACTACATCCAACTAGACGGTGATAGTTTGACATTCTCTGCGCTCCATCATGGTTCCTCAACCCTGCCACCACAGCTGGAGAGCATGCGGTGACAAGTGCAAAGACCGGAGTGTGACAGCAGCCCCGTACCACCGACTCACGAGAACAGGTGCCTGGGATCTGGCCTACCAGGCTGCAGGGAGCACACAGGACATTATCCTGGCCTGAGGGGCCTCCACCTCAAGGCACCTGGCACCACAAACAGTTGCCGCACCGTCTCCTAGCGACTCCTGTAACGATGAACTGGCCCCGAGGAACCCTCTCCACCCACTGAGCAGCCCTACCTGAACGGCACAGCCCAGCACCAACAGCAGCACCTTCTTAATCTCCTCCATGCTCTTCCCTGTGTCGAAACAGCAACAGATTTAATTAAATTTGACTGCTTAAGGAAGTCCCAGGAGATGTGTGTTTTTGCTTTAAGGAGGAAAAACAATTAGATAAAGACTAAAATAAAATCCCAGTGGCCACTGCTACGTGCACACTACACAGGAGTTCATTTATTTATTTATTTATTTATTTTTACCACGTGAGAATTCTGTGCAGAACCATTTGCGCCCTTTCCCATTCACACAGCTTGTAAAATCTCTCCCCATGGTAATTAACAGACCTTCCCATCAGCAAAAAATTTTTAGCATGTACTATAAGCAAAGCCCAATAGAAGACATCTATGGCTTTGCCTGTTAGCATGTGAGATCTCAAACACAGCAGGCAGGGCAGTCTAGCAAGCCCACTGCACTCAGCTTCATGCTGCCAATGCTCATGCAGCTCACGTCCCCTTCCTTCACCTCCTGTTTGTGAAGTTTAGTGTCGGACTCGAGTGTTCTAATATAAACCACAGAAAACATACAGATGTCATCTTTTGTTTTTTGAGACAAAGGCTTACTATGTAACCCTGGTTCGCCTGGTCCTTGTGATTTCCCCCTTCTTCAGCACCCCAATTGTGGCATTACAATCCTGCATCCACACTGGATACACATTATGTTTTGATGGTTACCATATCACTTTGCATGAAGGCCCAAACATCAACCAACAGCCTTCCGGGGGTCAGGCTGTCAGTATTTTGATCTAAGACACTGCAAAGAGCATCTCAGTGATTAGTTCTCTCGAGCAGCCTTACTTACTTTCTTGGGGAGGAAACACTTTACACTCGTCATGTGGTCAAACTGTCCCGCAGACAGGCTTTTCCATTTTGTCCTGTGAATCATGTAACCGTTTCTGCTTTCCAACCCTTGATCAACACATCTGGCTACTCTCTTGATTTTGCCACTAGGGCAGGCTCCAAACTGTACTTCATCCAGAGTTGTATGTCTTAGATTGTGCTTGGGGCTGAGTGTCTGTCTCAATCACCTAACCTCACCAATACCCGAGGACCTGGGCTCTGTCCTACTTCGGTGAGATAGAGGCAGGTGGCCTGGGTCAGGAATAGGGTTTCCAGTAAGGTTTGATAAAAAACAAACGAACAAAAAACAAAAAAAAAAAAACCCCAACACTATTGTTTTCTGCCTTTTTTTTGTCACATCCTGTCATACAACAGGGAATGGTGTATGCCAAAAACATAGCATCATTTTCTCAAGACTTCTGACTCCCTATCACACTGTGCCATAATGGCCCCGCGCATCAACTGGAGACACGTGTGAGGCCAGCTGTGACTGTCACCTTGACTGGACACCTCTGCATGTGTCTGTGAGGCCAATTCCAGAGGCTTAACCAAGAGGGAAGGCCAACATTGATACGGACGGCACCATTCCATGGGATGGGGCCCTGGACTGAAGAAAAAGGAGAAAAGAAGAAGCCTGGAAAGTGCCAACATCCCCCACCCTGTCCTGACAGAAGCAGAACAGGAGGGAATGTGAAGAGTCCTACACTCCCACCACCATGGACTCCACATCTCTCCCCACCATGGCGAATCCTCAGTTCACGGGCCAAAATAAATTTATCTTCCCTTAAGTTACTGTCAGGTATTTTATAACAAAGCGAAAGGTAACTGATATACTGCATGAATGAAAAACCCAAACCACACCTAGGAACTGTGATATAGACAAGGGGTGTAGGCAGTCACCCGTGAGAGCCTGCTAATTCCAGGCCAAGACTCCACTGAACTGGACTCCGTGGCACTGGCATGGTTGTCAAGCCTCAGGACGGGGAGCTGAAGTTCACTCCTCTACACCCAAAGCACCTCCCAGCCTGGGGTGGGGCCTGAGGCTGTCTCCTTGTTCTCAGAGACACATCAGAAGTTGAGGTCCTGTGATGTGGATCCGTATACTATGGCCTTCCTGTTGGCCAAAGGATCTAATCCACACATTACCACGTTCCTTTATCACCAAGAAAAAAATTAAGCCTTCCACGGTTGGTTTTAATCAGAAGAAAAGGGAACTAACTCTAAGTGCTAACAGCCTCAAGCTAGGCCAATGGGATGCTCTGGGGCATCCCAGTCAACAGGTACCTCCTTCCCCTCTGAGTTTCACCGATTACTGGCAGGCAGGAGGCCCTCATTTGCCGCTGGCTCCTAGCCCTAGAGTGGGAGATGCATAGCCTCTGCTTCCATGCTTTCCTGCCCCTATCACTGCATCTGAGACAAGAGAAGAAAATGCTTCTAGAGCCTGAGCTCATGTAGAAAATCTTTATGCACAGCCAAGGACCAAAGGCTCTATGATAGCGTCCCTCAGAATAACTGGAGCAGCCGACTAAAACAACAGGGAGAGGTGGCCTCGAGGAATGAGTGCCCACCAGATGGGAAGAGCGAGCGCTGTGTCCCAACCAAGTGTTCTGACAGCAAAGGGTTTAGAACCCGGCACAAACATGAGGGCTCAAAACTACACTGAAGGGGATGGAGAGATGGCTCAGCGGCTAAGAGCACTGGCTGCTCGTCCACAGGACCCAGGTTCGATTCCCAGCACCCATATGGCACATCACAACTGTCTGTAAGTCCGGTTCCAGGGGCATCCACTGCCCTCCTCTGGTATCCATGGGTACCAAGCACATAAGTGGTGCACAGACATATGTGCAGGCAATACGCCCATACACACACAAAATAAACAACAATCAAACCCAACGAGGTCAGCAAAAGAGCAGGTGTGGCACTCCTTCAGTACCCTGCCATCACCCCTGTGCCACCCCGGGCCACTCATTCACTCAAGAAGTCACCAGGAGCAGGAGAAAGCTAAGAAAGAGCAAGGCATGGTGACACACACTGGGGAGACTGAAGCAAGGAGGATCGTGAGTTCAAAGCCAGCCTGGGATACATGGTAAGGCCTGTTTCAAAATAAGACAAAACAGGATCAGCAAGATGGCTTGGCGGGTAAAGTCACCTGCCACCAAGCCTGATGGCCCAAGTTTGATCTGGGACCCACAGTTTGAGGGAAAGGACCGACTCCTCCAAGTTATCCTCATGCTTCCACGCTCATGCCGTGTGTGGCACATTTTATCACACGAATGCACACCCACAGAGACAAATAAATAAAAATGTAATATAAAAATTTAAAAAGATGAAAAGGCTAAATGTTCTCTCTGTAGAGCACTGTTTGAAAGATAAGGATTGTTTCCCCCTTGTAGCAGGGAGCAAAGGCTAAAAAAATAGAGAATTAAGCTTAGGAAAAAAATTCATAAAACAGACAATGGAAATAAACCCCCATTGGAGATAAGCAGGGTCCTGACCCTCGACCCATACCCTTGGCCCACCTGGCAGATTCACAGCCTATGTGCTCACAGCCTATGTGCTTTGACCTGGCAGATTCCTTCCTAAAGAGAAGCCCGGAATGAATGCCCAAGTCCACTCATCCCCATGGCCTGTGAAAAGTAGATGCCTATTTCTTTCAAGATTCCACTAGTCAAGAAAAGCGGCTATCCTAAGTCTCCCAGGCTATAGGCTGGACTAGTTTCAACACACAGCAGAAAACTCTCTTGAGTCCCTGCAGGCAAGTGGGCTGGGTAACTCAATCAGCACCCGAGGACAACCTGCTCCCTGCCAAGCACCTACTGTATGCTGGAAGTATAATGGTCAACAAGTCCCCTGAATGCAGACAACGTGGACACAGATGAGCATGTCAGCAGTTTCAAAGCCCTAACAGGCTAGAGAGATGGCTCAGTGGTTAAGAGCACTGGCTGCTCTTCTACCAGATCCAGCACCCATATGGTAGCTACCACTGCCCATAATTCCAGTTCCAGGGGATCTGACACTCTCTTTTGGCCTCTGTGTGCATTGCACACATGTGGTGTACAGACATACACACAGCCAAAACACACCTTACACACATGTGCACACGTGCTCGCACGTGTACACACACACACACACACACACACACACACACACACACTTTCAAGACCTAGAAGAAAAGACTTCTAGTTTTCAGGGTCGGGCAAGGCTTCCAGGCAGACAACAGCATGTAAAGATCCAGAGGTAAGAAAGCATAGTTCTCAAATTCTGAATGTTTTGTGGTTAGGCTTACTGGAGCTGGTTTCCAGAGAGATGGTGCTGGGGGTGAAACAATGTCATTTTCTAGGCCAGATGATTCACCAGCAACCCCAGAGAGCAAAGTCAGAAAACGCCAGACACCCACTCTACCTTGTGTTTTGTGCAGGGAGCCCCAGAGTCTGAGTCAGTGGTGGAGTCTTCTAAGAAAACCCCACTAGCTTGCTTACAGTCACCCACTTCATCCAAACCTGAAAGATGCATACAGCACCCAGCTCCCAGTGCAATCGGGAAACATCTGCTCCCACCAAGGTGTGAGCACAGGATGGAAAGTGGCAGGGCAGTTATACCGTGGAGCTGGGCTAGCTCGGAGGACGCGTGAGGGTGGGGTAGAAAGTGGCAGGCAGCCTTGAGGAAGGCAGGAAGGAAGCCCCGGGGATCTGGAGACAGGCTCAACGAACAGCAGGGCAACTCAGCCCGGTCTTGCTAACTCAGCGGGCTGAAGACCTGCAAATCCGCCAGGTTTGGGGCCGGAGGGGGCGATATACCCAAGAGTACTGGCCTGAGCCTGCAGAGACATGCCATGGCCACTATCATTGTACTTGAGTGCCATGTGCTATGGCTACCATTTGTGTTAACCCCAAAACAGTCCTGAAAGGACAGCACCATCTCCTCCTTCTTCTAAACAAGAAAGATCGAGGCTGAGTCAGAGCCTCAAGGCTGCCCCCAGCCTGCTGCTCCCTCCCCCACCTCCTCCTTAGCACCCCAGCACTCACAGTGTAAATGTTTCCCCTCATTTGCTGACTGACTGACGTTAACTGCTGCAGGAGATCAGCTAAGATAACAGTTTTGGTTTCCACAGATAGATGTCTTTCTTAGTAATTCTATGTTCTGTTCTCCTCTGACTTTACATGCTAGCTAGGGTGGGACCACGA